GGTCTCGCTTGACACTTTTTTCAAGAATGATTATTGACCTACAACTTCAAGCAAGGCACATTCACGTCTGGCAGCATCGTCCTCCCTATAGGGAGGACGATGCTTTGGCTACTATGCTTTGGCTACTATAGGGAGGACGTCTTTGGCTACTACATTGCTCTCGCCTATAGGCGAGAGCGATGTAGAAGCCAAAGACGTCGGTTCCTATTTCGCAAGCCTCGACTTCAAGCAAATCTCCAGCCTGTGCGGAGCATTCGTTTCGTAATATAAACTGCCTGGGGAAATTCTGGTTTGGACACAGATGTGGAAGGACCGCACCGCTTAGGGCGTCTCAACGGTACAGGCAACTTGCCTTTACCCGGAGGCTTTGCATCCTAATGTAAACTGCCTGCTGCAAATCCTGGCGACCGTGACCATTAGCACCGCTGAAACGGAACGTTCGTTCTCGAGACTCCAAAGACTCAAGTCATACCTCAGAGCTTCAACGTCCCAGGAACGCTTGATAGGGCTTGCGCTTCTGAACATTCACCGGAACATCCAATTCAGCCCCAAAAAGGACCTCTCGCTTTTTTCTATCGACCGACGGCGGCTTCCACTAAATGTTTAGAACCCACAAAATGATAGAAACTGGTACTTTTCTCGGCCACTTTCTCGTAAAATGACATCGAAGAACGGAAAGAACCCAAAGCATGACCCTAGCACGATCATTTCTCAAAAATGTGATCCGATAAGGAACAATGAGTGTGACGTTTCACTTGCTCATCTCCCCAGTGTGCATTGCAGTTTTTATGTTCAATCGTATTCTAAACTTCACTATTCTCTGGCACTCTTCCGTAGTTTTTTTTAGTCATTGGATACCCGAGTATTCCACAGAAAAGTGTATGCACCGGAATATTTTGTGGGCCTGTCTAAAGTTTTTATTCAAAGCCCATTATTATATTTTATCATTGCATGTTTTCGTTGTTCACCCTTAAAGTTACCCTCTTTAAAGATTGAACGAACGAGATCTGGCAAAAAAGTTTGAATTTTTGTCTTCTAATAAACAGGAAAATAGTAACTAAAATTGTGTTTCTGCAATTTATTTTCCTCTTTTGTTTTCCTTTGGTTGCATTTTGGGAGGTCTGAGCAATGAAAAACACCCCCTGAAAACATTTCCTGGCTACACCACTGGTTGGGAATGAGGGAAGATTGACAAGTGCAGCCATAGTAATATTGTAAACAAAAAGGGGAGAGAGTGATTATTAAATGTATTACATCAAAGTTAGGGGAAAGGAAAAGGGCTAACGAAAAATTGGGCTAGGAGCGGGGATCGAACCCACAACCTTCGCCTCTCCGGGGCGACGTCTTAATCCTCTTCGTTTGCTATTGAATTATATATATAAATATATAATAATTTCGTAAAAGATTTGGAAGTTTCTCATATCTTCTCATTTTAGAATCTATGAAAAATAGGCCTTCTTTTGAAACGGACTGCTTAAGATGGCAGAACCGTATAAGTTTTTCATAGAAAAAAATGAAAAAAATTGAATAATATTAAATGACACTCAAGTTCGTAATTCTAACTTTTCTTCTCAAGTTTGCAGTTTAGTTTCTTCTATAGAAACCATATTGCAATTAACAATAATACAATAAAATAGGCTTAGATACACGCGTTAATTTGATATGTTTTTGAGGGGGAACACTACTCAGGAAGGCTATCTTTGAACCGTTTGTCTTATTTGCATGAAATTTGTAGCGTGTACTCATAGCACTGGACAAGGATGCCGTGGAAATTTTCAACCCTATAGATTTATCCCACGATGAGTTACATAAAATTTCATAATAAAAAAGTGTATCTGCTGAGGAAAGCTATCGTTTAGAAGGGGTAATGAAAATGGCCAGTTTTTTTGCTCAAACATACAGCAGAATACTTGCTTCAGACGACTATGAAAAGAAATTTCAAAAATTGTAAAATTTATTTACAAAAAAAATGGAAAAAAAAATTTTTTGGTGTACATTTGATTAAAAGAAATATAAGCTTTTCATAACAAAAGAGCATAAAAATGCAGAAAGTAAGTTCACAGTCGTGTTCTCCAGAAATTTTCGATATAGAGAAACCAAAATATATCTGCACGCATAATTTGATTATGAAATGATAGCTTCCCTGAACTGATATTTGACACTAAAAAGTGAAGCTGAGATAAATGCCCTTGAAGTTTCAAGATAACATTTTAAAATTTTCTTTTTGCATGTTAAATGACAGAAATTCTTTTCAGCAGTGTACGTCATGTCTTCTTCAAACTTCTTCTGATATACTGATATTGATTTCAGTTATTTTTACTTGTGGATGACGAGTGCTACGCAGTGCAGCACACCTCACCAACATACAAAGGATAATTATTTTTGACATTTTTTGTCAGTGCACATTGACAAGACTTAGTGAGAGTGTTCCTTGTTATCCATACATGCCAAAACTCTGCAGTTCTGAATATGAATACTTTTGAAAAAAAGTGCAATTCAAGGTAGTGTCCCCCCTTAAACCTTCAAGAATTGTACATCAAAAGCTAGGCCAATGTACACGTGGCGCATTATATTCAAAGGTAGAGGATTAAAAAAAACATATTTCACAAAATAAAATACAATGAAATAAAATAAAAAATCGCACTTCTAGAGAACCTAACCCTTCTATATAAAGTGAAAAAGCAGTAAAATATGTTATTATTTTTGTGAAAATGAAAAACAATCTAAACGTCGCGAAACTCCTATGTGTTGTGTATCACTCGCGAAACATCCAAAAATCGCAATCAAGACCCACCTTCCGCCATTTCAAAGCCCGAAAATCCAGAAGACATCAACTTTTCCGCAGTTCTAATATGCAGTTTTGGTCTAGTCACACATTTTCCATCAACATATACCTTTTTCCAGAAATCTTTTAAAACCCATCATTTTTAATTTTTTTTTTTTTTTTTTTGCACGATTCGAGATGAGATTTTTTATATAAATTGAAAGGTAAAGCTGGAAGGGGGACATTTTAACGAAAACATCTTTACTACACGCAGCTTTATTTTTAGACCGATAGAACTTAAAAAAAAAAATCTTGGCTCAGCAATTTTGTAAATATATGCGTACTCCGATAGTTGAAATTAGGTTGCAGACAACAAAGAAACGTTAAATTATCCCCCAGAGAAACTTAGCTGTCTCCTATTCTAAGACAGATTCAGGTATGATATCTACAGAGACGTCCTAGAGCACCTATTGCATAAGACTCGGAAGCTGGTGTTGTCTTCGGCTTAGATCAATCTGAGGAGAAATTTTGTAGATATACACTTAGCCACAAAACAAACAATGCTTCATCTCCAGTTGTACGCATAGTTCTGTACACATACTTCGGTAACAATTCAATTACATCAAGTTACTGTGATTCAATCACTTTTTCAGTAATTTGTTTTTAGCGTAATAATTTTGTCTGACTGTAATTGATGATTTAAAGTAGTTTTAATCGCAGTAATTACAAAATGTTCAACGGTTACAACGTTTTTTTAATGATTTTGTCATGCTGGAGCTTCGCTTTGCAGTCACCGACGGGTGAGAATACGGCCCAAAATTCATTCTGCCAACTCGTAGGGCTTTGAGAGTGCCAAGTGCGCCGGGGTGCCGATCGTGGTTGCACAGCTGTGCAACTGTCAAAGCCAGGGTGGGTGGTCGCAGAGGAGTACGGAAGATGGCAGAGATGTACGATCATCGTGTGCACATTAAATATGTCATCTTGATTCACGTCGCTAATTTACAGAATAGCGAAGAGTTCGAGAGTCCGTTAGATCATTTCAGTGCCTACAAACACTGGTATATCACTTTTACTTTGAACCACCGTGATGAAAAGAACACTAACTCTCTGGTATCGCGAAATAATAACACATACGCTACCTCCTGTCCGCTCATAACTCAGCTCCCGTGTCGTGTCGTTAATAAGGTAGATAAAACAAAGATACAGAAAGTGGAAAACGTAATATGCCGTGCAATGAATCCTAAGCGTTCAGACAAGAAATTTACGAATATATTTTAGTACGAAAACAAGCAATCATCTCAACATTATTAAAGTTGATTAGCTACAAATGGAAAGTAATTGCGAATTAATGGCATTACTTTCTTGAGATAGTATATAATTGTAACAGATGCATTTTTGTGCGCTAGTAATCCTTGTTGTAATTTGTTGTAACTTTAGAAGCAAAGCTGTCGTAATCCTAATTAAATTACTTTTCCGAAGTGATTTACTCAAGCATGCTTATCCGTCGACTACTTAGGCACAAAATGAGTTTTAAGTTGGACCAACTAGAACAAGGAAGATGAAAATATACAAAAAGTTCCTGACAAGAAAAGGCAGAAAATAAAATTTCGGGAAAAAAAATGAAGTAAAGTACATTTCTGTGCACGCACAGTAAAATAAGAAATTGCTTCATAAGTTATCCAACTAACAATAATTCAAAACAAAAATTTGTAGCGGTGAGCAGTATTTCGTGGTCACGTGATGCAAAAGTCAGAAATAGGCGGTGTGGGCAAAAGGGCAGCCGTTTAAGCAACATGACGCTGCTACAAAGTGACTGAAACTCGCGAACTGCCGACTTACAGAAGCAAAAATACACTTAATTTGGTTCTGAGTTTGTCCGTGCTTTTAGGTATTGGTGTAAATTTGATTTTACATAAATCTATTTTCAAGCTTTTGTGAGCTGTCATTAGTAACAATGTTATTAGGCCTGAAACATGGTTGTTTTATAACATACTGTAAATCAAGAGAAACTTCAAGTGCCTTCAGCAATAGATATAACCATATCCATTGTCACCCTTAGTGAGATTTCGGCGACTATTTTTTTATAATTTAGAGTTAGGAATGTGTGCCATGATCAGCCAATCTGACATGTTAACATTTGAGCATCCTCGCGGTGACTTCTTCGTTTCTGTGAGTCTTGGGCGTAAATGTTTAGTGTAATGAGTTTGGCTAACATACATTGGCGAGGCAGACTTACTGTTTCGCCGAAGTATTGTGAATATTTTCTTGTCTCGCAAGCCTTCCTCCATCGAATCACCTGCATTTTAGAAAAAAAAATATCTTGTTACTGATTAGGATAACCTTCGAGCGTATTAGCGCAAATGAAACGCAACTAAAACGAGTAATAATAATAGAGGTAGTACGGCACAACTTATAGGAAGTCGTAAAAAATAATGTCATAAAAACTCAAAATTAAAAAAAATATATATATTTTTTTAAACAAAGTTACAATGGTATACAAGGTTGACCGCTACTTCTATTCCGACCGATCAAAAACAAAATTTGACAAGCACGACATGCCAGCTTTTAGAAGTATTCCCCGTGAGTGTTCAGTCGCCGTTGCAATGCTTTTGAAGGCCACCCGTTTCCACTGGCATAGAAGAACTGAGCTGCGTGAGTGCTTTGGGACGAACGTATCCGTGCCCTTGCATTTGTCACCGCGGCGGTTGTTCTTCGCCAAACTAGTGACATTATTCGTAAACTCTCGTCTGTGGTGCCGTTTGTTCCCATACTCTGCTTGCAACTTTTTCAAAATTTTAGCTGGTTTAGCTTAGTCTTTCACCAACAAGTTCATGATGCACCGCGGCTCCACAGCTTCAGACATATTACTGGCTTCAATAATAGCTAGAAATGCTACACATGCGTCCAATCCCTCATTTTGGGAAAAAAAAATATTCAAGAAGGATTACGATGATCTCAATTGAAACTTTTATCATGCTGCGCTTGTTCAGTGGTTTCTTGCGAACAAAAGCCCCGTCAACTTCGAACGACCCTTGTATAAGCAACAACAGGTACAGTGGCGGTCGATATGAAAAAGCCCAGTCAAGCGTGTGGCTCAAGACCTCGAGAGCTATCTAACGGAACAAAAGTTGAGCCATTAGAGAGTCTCAAAATAGGGGGCCCCAGCCCGTTGGATTACCCAAGCAGCTAGTGGCGTCACACTGCTTGTGTGGTTCAAAGCCCCCCCGTTAGGGGCCCCTATTACAAAACTCCCTATCCTTGAGGCTATCGTGTACGCAAGCGACATTTCATTGGCTGTTCGATTTTTTTTTCCGTTACTCCTCACTTTGTCGACGGTTTGGAAGACCATGACTCGACTCAATGTCGAGTCATGGTCTTTCGACATAACCCTTAATTTTTATGTATACTATATAGTCTAATAGCAAAACTGTCCTAAACCCCGGCACGTAGACAGGGGGGGGGGGCCCATGGAGCCCGGGCTCCCCCCCCTCCCCCCCCCCCCCCCGAAATCTTCCATTTTGATGGGGCCTCCTGTCCCCTCTCCCCCTCATACAGCATTTTGTCATGGGCGTGCCCCCCTCCCCCCCCCCCCCCCCCCCAAACAAAATTATGGCTACGTGCCTGCCTGAAGCTCAACACGACCGCAATCATGAATAGCCATGGGATTACGTCACAACTTACAGAAACTGTACCACGCGAGAAATTGACTCAACATGCTCCACCTGCTGAAGAAGGCATTGCTAGATTTTAGAGCAAAATGAGGATTGCATAATAAAATGAGGATGCTTCACCTGTTGACAAACTTTTCATAAAGAGAAATTGAAATGTCACGTCTCTTAGACGGGACCTGTTTGCGAAAAGTAGAGGATAAATTTGGGGCGACAAGTGATTTAGTGACCCTAGTTCAAGTCTGTAGAATGAGAAGAAAGCAATTTCAGTAAGTACACGGGTTCTAGTTCAGCTCCTTCCCTCCCCTAAAATTCCAACGCTTAATGAATATCAACAAATGAGATGTACGCATATAATCGTAACGAGAGTGTTCGTCAAGTGTTCGAGATAACAAAAAGAATAAAACAAATAGGGGACGAAACACAAAAGAGTAGATTCTTTCACTCGTATGTGTTTCGTCCCCTCAATGTTTTATTGTTTCTGTTATCTAGGTATACGTGACTTGTCCAATAAGAATGAAATTGGGCGCCAGTAGGAAACGAGGTCAAATTCAACCCAATGAGCACGCTTTGCGACATCTTGAGCAAATTCGTAGCGCATCCTTCGCGAAAATCTTACTTTCGCACATGCTTGGCCGCGACATGGCTCTTGATTTGAATATCAAGCCAGCTTCTTTCAAATCCTCTTCGGATCACCTGGTGATATCCCTCCCATCTATCGAGTCGCAACCCGATGCTCTCACTAAATATCACTTAAAGCCTCCCCCACATGCAAAAAATGGTATACGTGTTTCTAAAACTGCTGTTCTACTCGTTTAAGGGCGCCTTGGTATTTATGTAGACCTCTGGGTAGGGCCAGTTGAAAGGAATAGCAACCATAGCATATGCCAACCTGCTGTTAATATACGTGTGTAGCAAATGTCTAACTTTTGCTACGATTTTAAGGGTAGAGGAATTTCTAGCCATATGAATAGCATTAAAACTTTTTCAATATGAACGGAAAAGCGAGAAAGAGACGGTTCGACATATCCTTCATGACTAGGAAGAAAACTGTCACACTGGTTGCCACGAGGATAATTGCTACAAGATTCGCTCAGAGGTCGGGACGGCAACTTGACCTTCAGTGGAAACTGACACACTGGTATTTTAGGCAACGTAAGAAGGGATTCCCTCGCAAATATGATGCTTGAGACACCCACTTTCTCTCTTGAGTGGTACAATAATACAATGATACACGTCACTTCACCAGCGAATTCTATTGAAAGTGTAGCCTCCCCCCCCCCCCCCCCCGCCCCCCGGCGCCCAGTCCGGAATTTTTCTAAACGTTTCAAGAGATTACACGGCCTTACTGCATAACCCCGTCCAGTTGTGTAGACACAAGATACATCTCTACAAACTCTAAAGAAGTGGTGACCCCTAACCTGCTACTTTTGTCCCTTGGTGAGAAATATTGACACTTCGAGATGTAGAATTTACTGCATAAAGAATTATAACTTTCGTTTTTTGGGGGGTGCAATTCTTTTTCTACATTAAAAGTGTAATGTTTTGTGGTTGTTGTTGTTGTGGTGGTTTTTGGGGGGAGGGGGTAGAATGTATTAACACGTCTCAGCTGAGAATAAGAGTAAAAGGCATGTAGTACAGCATACCCGCCTCCTCGATAAAGGGACATGGTGCGACTTTTGGCCAAAAAAAATGGACTTTTCCGAAAAGTCGCGTTGAGTATATATTTGGAGGAGGCAGGCCTAATTCAAATAATCACGATTTTCGTTGGTTATAAAGACACGAAAAAAAGTTATATCGTACTTTTCAGGCACTGTGGCACTCAACACTGCTGTCTAGTTCTGCAAAACAGTTCTAACGGCAATCTGTAGACGAAATGACACAGCTCAAACTAAGAATGCAATAATTAATACGCTGCTCTGTAGCATACCTAGAAAAAATAGAGGAACGTCTTATCTCTTTCATACGTCTTGTTTTGTTGTTGTTGTGCCAGCATATATTTATTTACACCAACTTGCAAACAAAAAAAAAAAAACAAAGAACAATAAAAACGTGGCTAGAAAGGAAGTGATGAATGTTGTAACTACTCGCACGAGCTTATCGATGTGTGCAGCGGGAGCACCAACAAAAGCTATCTTCTTGCGCTATTAGAATTTTAAATCCTTGCTCTGAATCATAGACCCACCAAACAAATAATAATTATCTGGCTTCGGGAAGTAATGGGGAGAGTAATTGTTACGTCTTGAATTGATGTTCACTTAGTTGTGGAGTCAAGTAAGTAATCTAATCGAATTCCTTTGGAGGCAGTAATTTTATATATATTTCGTTCGTTTATATTAGTAGCTTGCACAAGAATAGGTTTAAAAAGTCAGTTTCTATAATTAAAAGATGGCGAAGCACTTTTATCACTGAAATTTCGATTCCTTTATCTTCGACTGTGATCTTGCATCACCCCTAGGGGAAACACCGATGGCCTTGCTCCCGATCCGTTGGTATCTGAACCCTAATGCATGCCGCACCGAAATATCAACGTTGCAAACAATTTTCATTATTATAACTTTAGACGGCCTTGTTCTTGCCAGCTCGCTTTTGTACTTAAAGGGATATTAGGGATCTGGCTAATCTAAAAATTACGCGTGGCCAGGTTGAACGATTCTATCCCTCTGCGAGCTTCAGAGCAGTCCGGTGTCGAAGTGGCTGGAGTATGGTTGGATAGCTTTGCATGGAAGACAGCGTTTACTTCGCATGGCCCAAACCCGACAATGGCCTGAACGGAGAGACACTCACTGTTCGATAAACTAAGGAACGACACAGAGCATAATAATAAGTAGTACCAGTACGTTTTTCAATTGAGCTAGGTTTCTGGACTCTGTTGAGCAACGGTTTGCGAAACGAGATAATGATGTGCTTTGATTGTGCTCATTTGCAACCAATATCTCAAAGAATTTGTAGGATACTACCGGTCCTGAAACACTTAAGAAAACTTCATAGCTCAGACAGGATGTACATTGAAAAGACCTAACAAAAAAAACTTCTATTTAGTCACTTTTTACACCACATCTCCCGTTCTATGCGACGAGAAAGTATAGGGGAAAATAAGAGACAAGAGCGTGCGGCGACGTCAGAATGCCAAAGTCTGTTTGGGATGATTAGTGAGTAGGCCTAAAGCTAGCAGCGTTTGTCTCCGCTGCACTCGTCGAACGCTTCCGAACCCGGAACGTCGGCGTCCAGTGTTTGGCTTTCACATTCGAAGGCGTTGGACGAGTGCGATAGAGACGAAGGCAGGCTTTATGCCTACCCACTAATCATTCGATTCAGTGCTCGGCGTTCTGAGGTCCCCGCAAACTTTCGTCTCCTCCTCTCCTTCAGTTTCTCGGCGCTCTCCACAGATCAAGTTCTAGGACGGGCTATTCGAGCACAGGCGTCTCTGGTTCCTTTGACGGGCTCAGACGTAGATTGATTGGTGATTCGACCTAACCTCTACATAGGACAACTCTTCAATACATTTGCAGGTGGCCGATAGTTTCCTCGTGAAACAGCCTTGAATTGTCTGGTCTGTATCAGTCACATCAGGAACATAAACAGTGGTCTGTTCTTCTATTGACACGCTCAACAATGTTTCTTACGTCGCGATTTAAAACAAAAACGATTTCTGTACTCACCAAATGCAGCGCACTGCGTGCATGCTACCAAGAGGGCTAGCATGATGAGAAGAAAAGGCATCGCAGGTTTGAAGCACATAATGTTACACTTTTGCTTGGATCGGTTTCCCCCGAGCGAATGCTGGACAGGTCGGGCCGCGCTGTCCCTTAAGTAGACGACCAGTTTCTTTGTCATCTAATCAATTACCATTATTGTGCAGCGATAAGAAGAAATAAAAACAAGAAAGAATAGACATAAAACCACATCAAAAATGCATCTCGATAGTTGAAAGACCTCCTCACTTTGCTATAGACCCATGCAACTAGGTCCACATGTATCACGCAAGCTTCTCTGTCGGAGCGGAAAATATGATATTTTTAGCTGATGAGACGGGGCTTTATGCGGACGAGAGCAAACAAGAGCGGCGGGCCTGTGTATTAGAATAATGAGATTAGAATCAACGTACAAGAAACTATGGATGTCGCGTCGGACAAATGCGTACTCCGCTGATGAGGGCCACAAGGGGCAGTAAGGGGAGGGACTCCATCTTACGGCACGACTGTTCACACGGCGGAAGATCTCGTGGTCAATGCTGTTGGGAGAAGAGGTCGCGTACATCCCTCAAGTGCCTGTTTTTTGTGTTTACTTAATTACAGTAAGTGCGAGAGCTGACGGAGCTATGATTTCGCAAGTGCCCATTGCAAGCACGATATAGTTACTTGGGGATCATCCCCGAAATAGACTCAGTTGAGTGCTAACAACGACGTTGGAGCAGCTTCTATTCTCGGGCGTCCTTAGAATCGCTATTAACGTTGGGTCATTCAACATGTTTCCAACGCCCACACCAAGGAGAAGATAAAATTCAACCCACACTGAGGCGAGTAGGTGATCCATGATAATATCGCGCACCCCGAGACAAACATGTAGAAATGACAAACACAGCATCGTATTGCGTTTTTTCTTTCTGAGTGTCCTTCGTCTCCGGATTTCCGTAATGGGAGGGAGCTGGAAAACGAAGTCAAGGAAGACAACTTTAAATGCATCTATGCATTTAGAGTTCTCTGTCAAGTGATAACTAATTGATAAGTAAGTGATAAAACAAGCAAACAATATTTGTATGTAGCAGTTTGCTTGTCTTATTACTCGTTTTCTAAATACGAGATACTTTCTTTTGGTCACCCCCCTCTCCCCCCTCCCCCCGGGAAATGCGCATCTGTAACACGAAACGATTTCGCCTCCTATCCTCCATTGCGCCTCCTCCTCTTTTTATCACGCGCATGCGCGGTTCGTGGGTCGCACCGCGTGTGTGCCATATTGGACACGGATCACGTTGTACGCAGTTGTCCCGTTGGATACGCGCGTGTCGCGGTTGGCTCTTCGTTGTCACACAAGTTAGACAAGTTAGACAGAACTGGATTTAAGAGGACATCGCTGAACAGAATCGGCAGAGCGCCGAAGCTTAGTGTGTTCGTCGTGCCAACGAGACACCGAAAAAGAGAGACCAGTGTTTGGCTAGGGATAGAGAAACAAAGTGGGCTCCTCCTGCTACGATCGAAGGCCGAGTGCGGGAACGAAATGCTTCAAGAACACGCAACTACAAGAAGCAGGCCATCGATTTGCGGCGGTTTGCCTTGCCCAACAGGTACTTCGAGGAGCACTTCGTCCAAGATTAATTCGGCCAGGTCTGTAAAGTGTGTGATCGCCTCTGGTTAAGGGCAGTGTACACTCCGTGTGTGCACTGCAGCGAAGCACCACAGAAAGGCAGTTTATTTGGATGCGATTTATTTGTGTGGGCTATTTTGTTTCTGTATTTTCTTTTTCCTCTTACCTCCTCTTACACTCAGAACAGCCTGTTGTATGTTTTGTCGAATAAAATTTTAGGCTTCGTTACACCATTAAAAAAGTCATTCTACGGAGAAAAGACAAACAGAACATGTCCCGTCTTTCGGCATTACATCGAATGTACTTTTTTCGTTCACAAACAGGAACTGTACCGTATAAACGCAAATGAACTATTTAGGTAATGAGCGTCAATTTCCCCCTATGACTAAAGAGTACCTTGCAGAAGAGCCTCTAGATGCTTGTTACAACGTCCCCGCACATGGTGCGTGCCTAAAAACGCTACAGATTGTTTATTTTGATCCAACTTCATCATTCGGCGAGAGTACACCACTACGCGAACTGCAGCACGCAGTGCGCAGAGCGCGGAGAACGACAGCCCCAACATCACGCCACTTAAGTGAGTCGAACCATCTCCTGCGCTGCCCGTTGAAAAACGCATTGATGAGTACGGCGTGCTCCGGCTTCATCTTCAACCGCAGTTTTGCCGACATGCGTATACATTCAATCCATCATTTACATGAGATCACGCTTTGCATGTGCACCGGGGAGGGTGGGGGGGCGTGGGAAGGGGGGTACTTCTTTTCCTTAATAGTTTCTCGTCGCATGCTCGTATACCCGCTTATGCTAGCAGATGGCGGGACATACACCCGCGTGGGGACAGCGCGCGGTGGCAAAAAGCACTGGACATGGAATTTGGGCGCCATTATTAAAGAGAATCGTAGGACTGTTTGACGGATCCCAACTGAGGTTCTTTCCCGTGATAGATAACACTTTTGGCGATGACGTCGGTCAACGGACAACGCAAGGGCGACGAAACAATGTCTACCGAAGGCAAGCTTGAGGAATTTGATGAAACAGCGTGGACTTCTTGGGTTGAACGACTGGGTTTCTACTGCGAAACTAACGGAGCAATAGAACCTAAAAAAAGGCCTTTTGATGACTTTTGCGCAGCACAAAAATACGAAGTTGTATCATGGCTGTCTCATCTGGGGGTCGCGTGTCGTAATTCCCACCTCTATGACACCAGAGGCATTAGCTCTAGTTCATGCACGGCACAGAGGGGTGGTCGCCATGAAAGCTTGCGCCGAAGTTACCTCTGGTGGCCAGGGATCGCAAGGAGATTGAGTCCTGTGTAGCCAAGTGTGACACTCGTCAGCGGCATCAGAAGGCAACAGCGGAATATGAGAAAGACCGTCAACTCCGTGGGATACAATTCATGTCGATTTTGCAGGACCGGGAGACAGGAAAGGGTTTCTACTAATTGTAAATGCATACACGAAACGGCTTGAAGTACGTGATGCTTCAAATATGATCTAAGCTACCGTTATCGGCGAACTACGCAACGTTTTCGCGATGTTTCGCGTACCACGGACGGTGGTATCGGATAATGGATCCGCTTTTGTTTCGGTGGAGATCAAAACATTTTATTGACTCAATGAAGTTTTAGCGGTTAGCAAAGCGCCGTACCAACCCGCCACCAATGGACAAGCAGAACGAATGGTGCAACAGCTGAAGCAGGCATTTATTAAAAGAGGAAAAGATGGGTTTTAGTTCATTCTAGCACGGTTTCTCTACAAGCAACACACCACAGTGCATACGGCGACAGTCAAAACACCAGCTTGGATGACGTTTGGGCAAGCGTTGCCGTCCCCACTGGTGTGACTGGTGCACATTCCCAAGGACGACAGACCAGATACAATGGAATGGAAAATCTGTGTAAATTTATAGTGGAAGAATCCGTATGGGTCCTGAAGTTCCCAAGTGGACACACTTGGATGCCTGGAGTCACTAGAGAGCGTCTGGGTTCACCGTCATGTATGAGCCAGGCAGAAGAAGGGCGAACGCGGCGGCATATGGACCATATGCGACCACGGTCACTGGTCACAGATCGGCAGAGTGACACGCCAGTACCAGCCTGGGGTTTGGAAATCCAGCCCGAAGCGGTATCAACTCAATCGTCAGTAACACAAAGACAGGAAGTGTCCGCACCTGTGTGTATACCATGCGGGGTAGTACACGGGAACGAAGACTTCCAACAAAGCACGGGATAACAGCCAAGTAAGGGGGAGATGTTGTATATATGCCTATGCTAGCAGATGGTGGGAAGTACACCTGCGCGGAGACAGCGCGCGGTGGAAAAAATAATTGTGGTTGTCTGGATATTTATACAGTGTTTAGTTGGTCAGCCATTTCAAAGTTGCGACGAGTCACTCGCTGTAGATGAGAAATTTAGCCAGTGCAGTACAACCGAAAGCCTCGTGTCTTAAACGTGCACGACGCAGTTGTGATACACACCCGCACGCCGGTACGATGCTCATCCAGATCGAAACGGGCAGGGGTTGGGATAGAGCCCAGGATCCCTGGGTTCTGCAGCGCGAACTTTCGCTCCACGTGCTCTGAGCTGGTGTGCGCTAGCCCACTCGGCCACCGATCCCCAGTAACTAAACCCGTTTCACACTTCAACTGAATATTTTTTGCAGACGACTCGCGGGCATGAACCCGTCGGAGAGGTCCTGGCAGTATTCACGAAAAGCGGCTCTGGTACACCCGAAGGCCCTTCAAGAACTTTCGTAGTTCAAGTGACAAGAAAGTTTAGCTCTATAATTTGTTGCAATATAAGGAGCGTAGTATAGGCACCTCCCACAAAGCCTTCTACTCTTTCCACTTGAGCAGAGCGACCGCTGGAGAGGAGGCGAGTGGAAAGGACTAATCATGATGATTAGAGAGCTTTGCGGGAAAGCCTTGGGCCGCGTTTCTTTACGTGCGAAAGATTATAGGTAAGTTTCTTTTCTTTTTTTTCATTTATCTATTACATTTTTTATTAACGCTACTTATCCTCATGTGGAGATTTTAGTATTGAGCTAAGAGGCCTTGTTTGATCGTACATCATAACATATTTTTTTCACAATTTATTTTCCAAGGAAAGTTGCAAGTTGGTTACTGATCATTCTTTCAAGTGAGCTGGTACCATCCATTTGGGAAATAAATGTTAAGAATTATGAGGCAATAAATATTTAGCTTTCCTTCAGAATGTGTTCACTGTAATTGTTCAATGTCATCATGATCAAAGAATGTATATCTCAGCTTTCTTCGAATCTTTCTAAACTTAGATGTATAATTTCCCCTCGGTACATGCTCACATTGCAGGCATCCAGTTCCTTGCACGAAGGATAAGGGCATCCACACGATGAACTTCGGTGTGAAAGCATACAAATACTTTCACAAAATGCTACATGTTGCAGAACTGGACCTACAAAACCTGTCCAATGATACAGCGTGTACCCTAAAAAATATGTACAGTGTTTTTTCACCGCAAAATTATAACTACAACAACAT